CAGACTTGAATTGTAGAAAATATCCTTCATGGTGGAAGCATACGGCTTGAGATACATAAATTTTCATGCTAGCATGTTACAAAATATAAGGTCAATCTAAGCTTCTAATTCAGCCTACCATTGTAGATTCATGCCATGGATTTTGTTATCCTTTGTATTGGAAGATTTAGCGGACTTCTAAATATCCCAACATTTTCTATAAGAAAAGGTCTTGAGGTCTTTGACAACAAAGTGATTCATTCAATGGATTATAGTAATATAAATACCTCAGTGACTGATCAGTTGATGAAAGGAAAATGAGTCACCATCGTTGGATTTCTTAAATCAACATTAGATATTGCTGCAGAATGTGCTGATATTAATGATAATTAATTAACAATTCATTTCGTGATATAATTTATTATTTTCAGTTGAACGCTTAACTAAGTTATAACATATAGTATTTTACGTTCTATTGTCATATATTGATGTTGATGCAATATTAATTGAGAGCACTATAGGATGGAAAGAATTCATTTTAATCAAGAAGTCACTCTATTTTATTCATGTTTATAAAAACAAAAACATTCATTTTGTTTGTTTACATTTCATAATCTTTCACAAAATTACTTTCAAAAATAAATTTCATTATAAGTTGAATGGAAATTTAGACTTCGTTTGGGACAACTTTTCTCTGCTTTCTAAGATCATCTTAATCCAAAAACTCATTTTTCACTCCAAAATATAGTAACACATTTCCAATCGAACTCCATTTCTTAACAACAACAAAAAAATTATTCTGTGTACATTCATTTTCATATATTTTTATATTTTTTCAACAAAAATAATAATTTTGTGTTTGTGAACAGTGTGACTCTAATATTGGCATTACATCGTTCAATTTGCCTCAAATCATCTTCCAAACCTATTGTACCCAACCCTAAACTCTAGGCAAACTTGGTTAACCAACTCAACCAAGTTTGACCAAATGTACATACACATGCACCTAGCTCAAATCCATTGATCAAGGCATTGCTAAGCCAACCTAGGGCTCTAAGGTGACCTATTAGGTCCCTAAGAGAATCCCCTTGAAGGCCCAACACTTAGGTCCACTTGGGTTAGCCAAAACCCAACTTAAGGCCAATCAAACCCAACCAAGGGTTCCATTGGGTCTTCCATGACCCAATACATCTGCTCTAACTGGCCCAACACTTGGGTCAACTTAGGCTAAGACTTAAGCTACCCCAAAGTGGTCAAAACCACGTTGACTTGAGCTAACTCTCAACTAATACCAAATCAAAGACAATGTCCTATCACATTGGATAACCCATGATCCTATACACCTCCCATGATCAGCCCAGCCCCTAGCTCAACCTGGGTCAGGACCCAAATTGACCCAAACCATCCAGGCTTTAGTGAACCTAAGCCATGTTAGGAAATTGGGTCTCTTCTTTCCCAATTGAGCTCACCAACTCCTTATGCTTCTTTCTATCTCAGCCTGACCCAAATGGTGGCTAGCAACAGCTAGGGCAGATGAAACCGTTCACACGTGGTCCCCTTCTCACATAAGCCAAGCCCAACGACTTTTCATCCTGAGCTTACCTCCTTTGAGGTCAGGAGGCTCTATGTAGATGTCCCCTATAGTTAGTAGTCATCCAAAGCCCCCTAGGGATCATCCTGATCATCCAAAGCCATCAAAGGAAGTTTGAATAGGCCATCCCAACTTAAGCCCCCTCATTTAATTCCAACTTTTCAAAAACACTCCCCAGAGTAGTGCGAGCCTTCCCCTTGCTTCCCAAGTACCCTAGCCTTTTCCAGAGAGACCTCGAACAAACTCTAGCAAAGTCTTTCGGCCCTTTGCTTAAAGTCTTACCTCTGGTGCTCCTCCAGCCACGACGTCTGAAAAATAATCCCTCCTCTTCATCCCCTAAAGCTTCCTAATATAAGACAACGACAATTGGAGCCTTGTCTAAGGTAAAATCCCATTCTCAAACTCCATAGCTAGGCAGTCTGGGAAAGTATGAAAGAAACCTTCAAACCACTGAGTGACTGTTAAATTAGGTTTCTAAACCTCTGATCCTCTCTATGAAATTTGGTAAGAGTTCATCGGTGGGATATCTCGGATCGCGCCAGAGAAGCTCTAAGGTTCGAAATCTGAATGGGAGGTGGAATACAAAATATTAATCATACGTTGATCACGATCAATGGTGTAGATTCAATCATACGGTCCCAATATGTGTTAAATCGTTGTCGTCTAGTCATTGATCTAACGACCATGGTTAATGTCATTGGCGCCAATGATTGCTGGCCAATCATGTGGCTCCGCGTGTAAAGAGCAAACTGACTGTGTAATTCCGGATTAACTTTCACAAAAAATTTGGGAAGAATTTGAAAAATCATAACTCCTCACATACTTATCCAAATAGGTTGATCTTAGGCTCATTGGAAAGGTCTTAAGGAGACCTACAAAATCTCAATTGTCTAGACCATGATCATGCATGAAACTTATGTTATTTTAGATAGAACCATAGGGGTATTTTTGTAATATTATCATCAAATTAACTCACCATGGTTTGAAACATTGAGAAATTAATCTTGGGCATGTTTATGACATGTCCAAAAATTTTCCCTCTTTTTGGCATCATTAAGGGCATAATTTGCTTAATCCAAACCCAAGGGTCTTTAATCGACCTTTAACTTTGAATTAAGCTTGATAACCTATTGAATGAGATTTAGGGTTTTGTTGTTTATGTGCTATTTATGCTTAGGCTAGGTAGTATATGGCCACTGATTTTAGCCCCCACCTAGGTTTAGATAGCCTTTTAAAATTCCCCAAAGGTGAATTTGTGTTTAACTTATGCAGCCTAGTTAGCCACCATAGAGGGTTTTCCATGGGACCAAATTTGATGGATTTGGACTACGGGATTAGGTGATCTGATGGTCCAAATTTCACTGAATTTGGAATCCATTTGATCCACTATCTAGGCAGCCCAAGATTTAACCTTAAAAATGACCTAGGATTTTAATTAATTCATAATTAATTCAATTTAAATCCTAAAAGTACAAAATGAAATCTTAATTACTCATAATTAAATATATAATTAGAAAAAAATTAAAAGCCACTTGATTTCGAATTAAATTAATAATAAAGAAAAATCACTAATTAATTAATTAAAAATAATTAAAATTCCAAAATAATTCCAAGTACTTGGAATAACCTCTAAGAGTCATTAGTGACATTTTGGGGAGTTTTTAGTAGGTTTGGGATTGATTTGGAACCAAAATCACAAAACCTTCCTAATTAGACAATTAAATAACCAAACTTCAAAAAATTACAACTCCAAATTGAACAAAACCAATTATATATATATATATAATAAAATAACGAAATTCTAGTAAATCACTAATCTAACCAATTAAATTCCAAAAATGTGATATTTTGACGTAATATTTCTATTATGTTTCTTGTGAATTGATATAATGAGCGTTAGTTTTTCCTATGTTATGATGGTCTGGATGCTCAAAAATATTTTTTGTATGTGGTCATGCTTATGCAGGGTTGTAAAAGGGGGCTAAATTAAAATTTAACTAATAAATTTTCTGAATGTGCTAAAAATTGCTAGGCCCCCTAAAAATAAAAAGAGTATAGTCAAGTTATTATGATTGGCTCAAATGTGAGCAAATGAAATTATATAACTACTTGGGATGATTTTGATGATTTTAATATAACTGCTTAGGATAACATACATGAAGTATTGAGTCATTTTAAATTTTTAATATGTATTTAGATTTCTAGGATTTATGGAAGTTAAATTTAAAATGGGGCATTTGATACCCAATTTGGAATCCAAAGGGAAAGGAAACATCCATTAGGGGAGAGTTTCCTTTCATTTGGAGATCCAAATTATGGTATGTTGAAATCCAAAGATAAAAGAAACACCCATTCATGAAAGAGCTCTTTTCATGTGGATACCTAGACCTAATAAATCCAAGGAGCCCAAAGAAGAAAGCTAAAGAAGTGAAGACAAAAGAAATGTCCCATTTTAAATACTTGTGCCATTTTGTATGATTATAATTCGATTGTTGTTAGTGGTGCCCGACCACTTTTAATTTTTGTAGACTCTAAATTTTGAATTAAGTGCACTTGCCACATGGACTTTAAATATTCTATATGTTTGATGATGTGTTTACATTATTCATGCTTTAGAAATTGCCTGACTTTCTTAGTTCTTTTCTTGCATACATAATTTGTTTTAGCCCGGAAAAAACACGATTAGGCTCTTAAAGATGATGAAAAAACTTTTCTACTTGTAATTACATATAAATTTTGTAGACTCACATAAAAAGATAAGCGATCTCCAAAAAGTAAGCCCGGGAATGCCTGGGAGTTCTCATGCATTCATCTTCCCTTTCTCACCTTACTAGGCACACTCCTGCCTATGGGTCATGGCAGAGCACCTAGCCTATTAGGGCGCAATTTTGTCTAGGGGATGTTGTGCATCTCTAAGGAAAAATATATTTTATAAACCTAAATTTTCGGTGGCTTATCGGCAAAATAAATTCCAACGATAAAATGTGTAGAAAAATAAAATACATCAATGTTTTCTACCAGTAAAGTTTATTGACAAATTTTCAACGGCTTCCTGTGGATCCAGTAACTGAGAAAATGGTCATGTTAAGCGACAAATTAGCAGTGGACTGGAGGAAATCCTGCATGTATTTTCTATGATTTTATTGGCGGAATACATGCCAAAAAATTCTGCAAATTTTCCTTCACCCCTTCTTCATACCGTTGGTTCATATCGAGTGTTTCTAGCAGAAATTTTGCCGGAAACTTGTAGCATGTTTAAAAAAAATCAGCACTTCTTTATTTTACAGATACAATTCACACAATACATTAGATGCTACAACAATTAATACAAATATATTCCAACACAATTAATACAATCAATACTACAACAATGACTAATATTAACATATTTCGAATCGTTCAGAACATAAAATCGACAAACTATCAAATATAATCATCGTAAAGAAAACATATTCAATTCAACACATAAATATCGCAACCTTGTCCTCCTTACAGACATTCATAATGAAGTCTCCAAACAACAGTAACAACTTAAAAAAAGTATGGATAACATTTCTCAATATATATAAGAAACTATTCTAATCATTTTTCAATCCCTTAGCTCCCCTCAGATTAAGGCTGCTTATCTTTCTTTCAATTTTGGCTTATAAATGATTATAGCTCTACTTGCATCTCAATCTATTGTGTCAGTATGTTTGTGTATTTCTCTTTTCTTCTTTATCTCCTTCGTGAGAGCAGTCACTCTCTGGCTGACGATCCCTAGAATTAAATTAGGAAGAATTACTTATTTATCATTTTAATAATATACGAGAGTTTTCTAAATCATAAATATCAATAATAATCAGTAAAAGCAACTAAAATCATATAAATCAATAAAATGTTATTTATACTAGCCATGATATCACTACAATCACTAATTCTATCATAAGCTCTTGACTATAAAAGAACAAAAAAATGTAGAATAAAATCTAAAGAAAAACCTGAAAATTTTTATCAGTATCATTGCTCATGATCTTGACCCTTTTCCTAACCTGAAATCATTAAAATCCACATAATAAGCTAAAAAACAAGCAGTAACCAAAACTCTATCACTACTTTCAATTAGTATAAGCAAAATATAATAATATCTATCTTATGACGAAGATAGTTTTTAAATTTGACTAAAAATGACTACTAAAAAAATTTATTTATTTAGGTCAAAATACAGTTTATTACAGGCGATATTCTCAACTCCACTATGGCCAAATAATGCAGATGTAGATGAATTTTTCTCATATGCATGGGCCTAGAAACCTAATTCGTACACCTCCCATTATGTAGGGGGGTTAATATTTGACATGACCTAAAAACCCGACCTGAACCCAAAATTCAACCCGAACCCAAATCGGGTCTGGTTTGGGTTAGGGATTTCAACATGTTTGCAAAATCGGGTCGGGTTGACCCGAAAAGCCGATATTGACCCAGATTGACCCGTTTGCAAAAAAAAAAAAAAACTCGGGACCAACCCACCCTCCGACAAATTATTGCGTCTGGATTCGTCCGGACACCAATCCGATGTCACCACGTCACCAAAATGCATCGGAACCCATTGCATTTGGGTGACGTGGCGTCACCGGATTGGATGTGACATCCGGTGACCGGACGCAATAATTCGCCCCCACCCTCAGGACCAACGTGGCAACCCATGCTGCATCCTTTGGGACCAATATACGGCCCTGACCTCACTGCCACCCTCAGGACTAGACATGGCAACTCTCGCCGCCTTCGGGACCAATATGTGGCCCTGGCCTCGTCGCCACCCTCGCGACCAACGTGGCAACCTCCGCGGCTCCACCCAATTGTTGTCGACCTCGGCCCTCAGAAACAAACATCATTGTCGTAGCCATTTACGCCCAAACGTTGTTGCCGTCGTAGCCATTGCCGCCCAAATGGCATTGTCGCTGTCCTCGGGACCAAACGGTTGTCCCTATTGTCGTTGCTGAATCAGGTTGGCAGGTCGTGTCAGATTGAAGCAGACCCAAAGCAGGTCGGGTTCAGGTCCAAAAAATTGACCAATTTGACCCATTTGCAAAAATGGGTTGGGTTCGTGTATGCTTAAAAAGTGTAGGGTCAAATTCAGATTCAACCCTAACCCAATCCAAAACCCACTTTTGACAGCCCTACCATTATGCCTACCTCCAACAGCCTAGGACCAGGTATGGTACTCAGAGTACTACATCGATCCTGAAGATGATCCCTCAACAACAGAAGTCTAACTCTCCCTAATTCATATAAAATACATTTCTATATGTTAAATATTTATGAACACTACTAAAAATTGGATACTCACAAAATCATTATTTTCTTTCTCATCAACCAACTAATGATCAACTTGGTGTTGACGTGTTCATGTATGTAGGATGTAAGCTCCCAAACAAAGTACGTCTTTCTATAAGAGAACATAGTCTATATATATATATATATATATATATATATATATATATGAAACCC